CCCAGCCTCACAGGGCAGCCTCACACCCCCCCCTCTGTCCACACCCCTCACCCAGCCTCACAGGGCAGCCTCACACCCACCCCTCTGTCCACACCCCTCACCCAGCCTCACAGGCCAGCCTCACCCCCACCCCTCTGTCCACACCCCTCACCCAGCCTCACAGGGCAGCCTCACACCCACCCCTCTGTCCACACCCCTCACCCAGCCTCACAGGGCAGCCTCATACCCGCCCCTCTGTCCACACCCCTCACCCAGCCTCACAGGGCAGCCTCGCCGCAGCCCCTTCAAAGCATCTCCAGGATCCCCCACCTCCCCACCCCACGGTAGTGTTGGGCTCCCACATGACCTTCTACACAGCAGCCGTGGCATGGCTCCTCGGGAGTCTGAGTGTGTCCTCCCCCCAGCGCCCTGTGGGACTCCCACCCCCTGGGAATAACAGCGGACACCCCACTCCTGAGACTCTGGCCTGGTCTCTCGCCGCTGGCCCCAGCCTGTGCCTTCTGCCCCACTAGACTGTGCTGCTTGAGCTCGACCCCTCTGCAGGCCTCCGTGCTGGCCATTCCTTCTGCCGGGGTGTTCTCCACTGGACGCCCGCGGCTTGCTCACACCTCATCCAGGTCTTGACCTCACATCCCCTTATCAGAAAGGCCTTCTCTGCCCACCCTGAAGACTAGGCTCCCACCCCAACCAAAACAACCTCTGTGCATCACAGCCCACCCTCCCAAAGCTGGCTCCCTAAGAGCAGGATCGGCCTGCTGTGTGGTCCCGGGGCGGGGAGCATCTGGCCCAGTGTGATGCTCAGTAAATACGCCAGTGACGAGTGACAGGCAGATCTGCCTTCTCACCTGGCTGGAAAACAGGCCCAGTCTGAGGAAGCCCTGTGCCGTGTCCACCCTGCTCCTCAGGTGGCCGGTCCAGGCATCCGGGACCCACCCGCAGTGTAACAAAGACAGTAAGGACATGTCATGACCGCAATCCTGCCATCACTGGTAAGCGGGAACTGAATGTCAGATGTGTGCAAAGCGCCCTGCCACGTTCGAGACACCTCCCACTCCCAGCGACAGGGCCCAGCACCCCAGCAGGCGCAGCAGTGCCGTGGCCTGCAGTTCCACTCGCCATAGTTTCAGTCACCTGTGGTCAACCACAGGTGGAAAAGAGGTGAGCACAGTTCAGCGAGATGTGAGAGACAGAGAGAGACCATGCTCACATAGCTGTCATCCCAGTAAGTCGTTATAATTACTCTGTTTTATTATTGGCTGCTGTCGTTCATCTCTTTGGGCCTAATTTATTAAGAGAACTTTGTCATGGGCGTGTATGCATAGAAAAATGGCCTTCATGGGGTTTGGCAAAATCTGCAGCTTCAGGCACCCGCTGGGCCTTTGGGGCGCAGCCGCACACGCGGAGCACGACTGCACCAAGCAGGCGGGCGGAAAGAGCGCACCCCCATGTGTCTGTCCACCCCGCAAGGCTTTGTCTGAGAGACGGCCCAGCCACCGAGAGCACTGGCTTCTGTGGCCAAATAAAAATCTCAGCGCCCTGTCTGCTGCCAAATTCCAATTCACCTCTTCTGGTGAGACGGAGGACAGGAGGCGATGCGCTTTTTTCAAACCCCAGAGCGACCCATATGGATCTCCAGCGCGGAGAGCCGGGAAGCAGCAAGCCTGGCACACAGCTCACACCCGCCAGAGCCTCGTCTCCAAGTCTCTTATCATTTGTCAGACTGAAGTTTGGCAAGAGCTGAAGAATGTAGCTGCAGATGGTGAGGCTTATCAAAGGCAGAGTCAGGGCCGTGGTGTGCAAGGCTGTCTCATCACAGGAGGAGAGAGGAAGAAGGCAAAAAGGAACGAAATGGCTAAGGGCCCTGCCCACCAGCCCTGCTCTCTGGCCTCCTGCTATGCTGAACTACTTAGAATTTACAATACAACTCGTCAGGGCCCCTCCTGCATGCTGAGGAAGTCCTGGCTCAGGCCTGTGAGGCCCTAAATGCGCAGACCTGGCTGTCTCTGCCCCTCCCCACTGTTCCACTCAGCTCCCGGCCTCCTG